TTGCCGTAGACCCCCTCATGCCCGGGGAGCCACTGCAGCCGCACCCGCCACCCGTCAGCGCGCAGGTGATCCAGTAGCCTGACGATCTGCCTGATGTAGAACTGCCCGGAGGAGCCCTTTGGCTCCGCGCTGGCCCGTATGGCGGCTTGGTTGTCCGTGAAGATGGTGATCTGGCGCTCCCTCTGGGGGTTCAGAAATTGGGTGACAGGGCTCTCCGCGCGCGCAGTTAGATGTAGGGCCATCTCCACGCCGCAAAGCTCCGCTGCGTAAACTGTATGTGAGTCCAGCGAGCCGAGCCGGCACGCCCGGCTCCCCAGCGGCGATACCACCGCCGCGCCGACCCCTTTGTCGGTCCCGCTCCCGTCTGTGTAGGCGATGATTGTGCTTGGGCCGCAGACCCCGGCGAGCACCTTGCGGTGCTCCCCTAGGGCCTGCTCCCGGGTTTCTGCAATCGCGATGTCAGGCGGCTGCCACCAGGGGCTGACCACAAACGGCTCGATCGTTTCGATATCGGTAGGAGAGACACCGAGCTGGCCCCGAAGCCGACGCTCCAGGCGCTCCAGCGGGGAAGTCAGGGGGTCCCTATCAGGGTCCGCATACCGCGAGCCCGCCGGCCTGCGGCCTAATGAGCGTATGGCATGCAATTCGCGGCGCAATGGTGATGTCATCAGCCGAGCACACGCCTCCTCCGCCGTACGGGCGAGATTCAGCATCGCCGGCGGCACGTCAAGGCAGACCTCCAGGGCCGCGCGGGCTGTTGTGCGAAAGGCACCGGCGATGCGGTACAGGGCCTGATGCTGGATTGATTCCATTGCCTTGCGGACTGCTGTTTCGGCACCTTTAAAGCCGAAGCCCCCCCGGATATACCAGGTTGAGCACGCGTACGCGATCTGCGGCCATAGCACTGCGGTGTACAGGCGAACATCAATAATGATAGTGCCAAGCAATGCATTTCGAATCTGATTGGAGATTTGGTCATCAACCACTGATGTGGGGGTATCGAGGTCTTTCTTCTTTGACTTGCCCATTGCGAAATCTAACCCGGGTTAGATTGCAGAGATGTAGTTAGAAGAAGTCAAGGAACTCTGTAGACAGTATGAAATACCAAATCTAACTTAAGTTAGATTTGAGTAAATGAACCAAAATCAATCGTAACCTAAGAAAAAGATGAAGTAGGGGGTGTCTGTACATATGTAAAAATAAATAAGAAGGAGAGTTTGATTTGAGTATAGAGAATCATAAGATATTATTATATAAGTATGCTTGCCTATTGTTCTATAACTACAGCTTATTGATAACTTAATTTGAATAGAAGTGAATGTGTTGCGTGTGTTGTGGATCATAGTGTGTTCTTTATTCAAGACTTTGACTTCCAAGTGTTCGAGAAATATATATTCAATATTCACTAATCACTATAAGTTCGAAATTCAAATACAATCATAGCAAATAAGGTCACCTTCGTAAAATCAATGCAGAATTCTAACCTGAGTTAGATTCTGAATATTACATTGCCTGCACGATGATTATACTCGAAGTTTAGCCTTAATATTATAATGATTCTATAGTTATATGTTGAAATGTTCATTATCTTTATTACAATATTAGTATGGTTTTACGCATTGAATATTACTTGGTGGGTTCATGGGCCCAACCCAGCCCATACTAACTAGATTAAGTAGGCGGAGAATAACCACCTTGGCAGAATAAAACCCAGCGGGTTCTGGGTGGCTGAACCCGCTGGGTTCTGGGCTGGGTTCGGGCCCTAGAAATCCCGAACCCGAACCCGGCGGGTTGGGTTCGAAAGATGGGAGAACCCGGCCCAACCCGCGAAAATAACAACCCTAAATAAAATACTTAGCTAATAGATAAGATACTAGAAATTATTACCTATAAAGTAGACATAGGAGTAACTTACCTAATTCCTACTAAAATAAATAAATAACCTAAAGATACTAGTATGCTATATATTATAGAAGTATATAGATGCTAGGCAGCTAGAAGCATAGATAGTAGCTAACTTTATAGTATACCTAGAGTAATAGGAATCCTAGCTTAGTATTAGCTATACTAATAAGTAGTAAAAAGTATAGCTTTAGATAAAGCTATACCTTAATATCTAAAGTAAGATCTTAATCTACTAGATTATAGAAGATATCTCTTATACTAGCTATATAAATAAAGCTATAGCTATTAAAAGAGAACTAACTAAATATAATAAATATAAGAGCTATATACCCTAAAGAGTAGATATACCTACTTATAGTAGATACTAAGGAAGAGGTAGAGGCCTAGATTTAAAGAAGTATAGCTTTTATAACTAAAAAGAGTATAACCCTAGAGAGGGTAAGAGTACTATTAAGTACTATAACTATAGTAGTAAGGGCTATATAGTGGCTAAATACCTAAAGTATATAAAGTATAATATAGAATTAAAAAACTAGATAGTCTAGTAATATATATAGTAGTAGTACTAGGCCTAAGTAAGGGAACTATAGATATTATATTCTTAATACTTAATATAAAGATAGCTATAGATAAACCTACTAAAGATATAGTTAGGAAGAATATTAACTTACTCCTAGATATAGGAGTATAGGAAAACTTTATTAGCTAATACTAGGTAAAGAAGAACCTGCTACTATAAGTAATAGGTATATCTTACTAGATTAAGGTAATTAATAGCTAGAAGGTGATGTTATATAGGAGATATCATCTCTATATTATAGTAATAGATGTATAGGGAATAGCCTAGAGTATTAAAATAGAATTCTATATAGTAGATATACTAGAATATAATTTTATCTTAGGATGGCTATAGCTAGTAGTAGTAAATCTAATAATTAATTTTATATAATATATATAGGAATATTAGGCTAATAAAGATCTAGCTAATATACTAAAGATAGAAATTATATTACTTAATAAATATATAGAGGGCATTCTTGTAGGTAATATAATATTTATTATCTATCTATAAGAGATAGTAGATTGAGAAGTACTCTTACTCTTTATCTTATTAGTAAGTAAATTAGTACTTCTAGAATAGTATTATAAGTTTATAGATATCTTCTTAGATAAGGAAGCTAATATACTTATACCTAATATAAAGTATAACTATACTATTAAGCTAGAGCTAGGGAAGTAACCCCTATTTAGGCTAATCTATAACCTTTCTACTATAGAGCTAAAGGTCTTAAAGATATATATTAAAAAAGCACTAGAGAAAGGGTAGATATAATAATCTAAGAGCTTTATAGAAGCACCTATCCTCTTTATACTAAAGAAAGATAGTAGCCTATAATTATATATTAACTATTAGGGCCTAAATATTATTATTATTAAGAATTACTACCTACTACCCTTAATTAGTAAGATGCTAGATAGGCTATTAGGAGTAAAGATCTTTATATAGCTAGACCTATATAATATATACTATTATATCTAGATTAAACTAGGTAATAAGTAGAAGACTATATTCTAAATATAATATAGGTACTATAAATACTAGGTAATACCTTTTAGACTAGTTAATATATTAGTAACTTTCTAGGCTTATATTAATAGTATACTAAGTAATCTACTTAATATATACTATATTATCTACCTAGATAATATATTAATCTACTCCTAGAGTAAGGAGGAGTATAAAAGATATATATAAGTAGTTTTATAGTAACTATAGAAGGCTAAGTTATATACTAAGCTTAGTAAATATACTTTCTATATAGAAGAGGTAGACTTCCTAGGCTTTATAATTAGAATCTATAGAGTATACATAGAACCTAAATAAGTTAAAATTATTAAGGAATAGCTAATACTATATAATATAAGGGAGATATAAGTCTTCCTAGGATTTATAAACTTTTATTATAGATTTATTAAGAAATACTTATAGATTACTACACCCCTATTAGAGCTGATAAAGAAAGATAATAAAATTATATAATTTATACTAATATAAGAAGTATTATAAGTATTTAAAGAGCTAAAGTAATACTTTATAACTATATTAATACTATAGTATTTTAACCTAGAATTATAGATTTAACTATAGATAGATATATTAAAATAGGTAATAGCTAGTATACAAATTGATACAATGGATTAAGCAAAAATTCTTGGGTCTCACGCATTTGCTGAAGGCGAGCAGCGAAGTGTCAGATGAAGAGGAGGGAGTGGCGCTGACCCCAGCTGTCGCAGTGAGGGATGCAGGACTGCTTGACAGGGTAGGAGGGTTATAATACTTGGTGCATATAAGCAGCGGAGCGAGACGTTCCTTTGCTGTGTTCCACGAGCTGCTTAACTGGTTCTTGAGCCTGGTTTTGTGTCCATCAGTCTTCGTGATAGCTAGTCAAAGTTTACGAGAGAGCTCCTGAGCATCACATTCGCCCAGTACAACTCGAATGGTTGGATAGTGCTGTAGACAGGCGAGGTAGCTCTGGGTAACAATTCACCAGCATCACTAAATTTTGATCCAGTGTTACTTCTTTGGAGCCATGCCAAGATTTATGAGGAGAGAGGCATCCACAACAGCCTGTAAAACTTGTTGGTCTAATATTTTGGAGAAAAGCCGTCAGTTGCGACCACTAGAAAATCTTGAAACGTGTAGTCCCCTGTGCCACCGCCACTACGCAACTTCTCCATGGCTTTTTCTCTCTCCAAATCTATTTCCTTGCGAACCTCAAGAGATTCCTGTGCAGTCATGGGCAAGACTTGCGTCTGCAGACGTAGCGTATCCATGACCTCCGGCAGTGGTGCTCCATGAAGATTATTGGACATCTCCCTTGCCTTGGGCCACCAGTCATGCTGCTGAGGCGGAACGTTCCTGGTGGAGCAGATTCGGTAGTGAGGATCAACTAGGTGAATCGTAATATACCGAAGGTGGCCTGGTCTCGAAGAATCAAGGAGCGAGAATGGTTCGGCCTTGTAACGTAAGGTGTTGGGCCAGGCGAGTAACCGGCCATTGCTGGTAGTGGCAATGGAACCTAGATCCTGAAGGGCTTGCGGAGATGGAGGTGGTCTCGCAAAGTAGTCCCAGTGTGGGATATCCCAAGCCAGCTCGATCTTGTTCGGATGAAACAAATTGAACTCGTATTCATTCATGCGGGCCTCTTGTTGAAAGGAGATCCGGGCCCCTCCGATGTTCTCAACATCATAGTAGCACAGAGCAGTCGCCACAATCCGCTCGTTCAACATACCGGCTACTTGGAAGTCGGAGACTCCCTCGTAGGAAGGTCTCTCTGGTGTCACATCAACGCTAGACACTTTGAAAATGACCTGAAGCCCATCCCCAATACCTGACAAGTTGACGCTGTAGTACTCATGGTCAGGAATTGGGTCAAAAGGCTGGTTAGGCTCAGAGACGTTCACACGATGCATCACCGGCCGACTGGTGTTTTTTCCTCGCTTCCATTCCTCGTATGTGAAACTAATGCCTGGCTCGGGAAGTTCAAAGATATTCCTACGGCGAAACTTCTCCTCCACAGCTTTTAGCAGAGTTTTGGGCGAATTCCACTGTTCATCCGTCAAGCTGCCGAGAATATCGGGGGGAAATTCGTCTGGCATGTTGTTCACACGAAGGCCCTTCAGGTTGTCGTATTCGGGGAGGGCAAGGTAAGACTTGACTTTAGCACAGAGCTCACTCCACTGTTGGTCGGTGAAGGCTGATCTTCGAGAGCGGTACAACTCGAACAGATCATTCCGCTTCTGAATTGCTTCCTCTTTGTGACGCTGGGGTATATCATATGTACGAATCCGCATTGGCTTTCTTCCTTGGTTTCCGATAACCAATGCCTCATTCCAGAGCGGAATCACTTGAGCAAGAAGTTCTTCAAGCGCTTCGTATGCTCCATTCTGGGTCCAAGGAAGGTTATTGATGTAAGAACTAATCCTCGGGCGCCTAGGTCCGTCCGGGAATTCCACTTCGCAAGGAAGCCACTGAAACTTGTCAGAGAAGAACGATACTTTTGTTTCTCCTCGCTCATCGTCTCTATGGCCATATGGGTTTTCATAGTCAGTTTTTGGTGTGAGAAAATCAAATGAATCCTCAGGGGGTATCGTCGGGCGAGGAAGTTTTCGAACGCTGGTTTGAGGCGAGGGCCCGGCAGGATCAAGCCAGTGTCGTCCGCCATCAACAAGGACCTGAGTCCTTTCGTATACCAAGGGATATAATGATGGATCGACCAGATGGCGTAGCGGACTGGATTTGCCCGATTCACCAAATGAAGGTGTCCGGTCGTCAAGCAGTGGTTGCAATCGCTGTCGTAATTTTTGCAGCAGACTAGATGGCACTAATGTGTCTGATTTGGCAACAGGTGAGTCGCCGTCTTTGATAATAACGTAACCCGTCCTCTTGGACTCCTGGGCTTTATCTTTTAGCTCGGCCAGACACCATTCCCACGCCCTTGGAGTGAGATCGAACGTGGAAAAGGCCTTTTGCTGCCATTGTTCCCTTATTGGCACATCCGATTCGATAGAATCTTCCCAGCCAGGCTGTTCCGTGACATACTCCATGAAATGAAGCATCGACATTTCAGGCTTTGTCAACCGCGGATCCCGCCGCCAGTCGGCCACCCCATATGCGAAACGCTGACCGACGGGTAGCTCATATTCCAAAGGAATTCCATTTATCCCAGGGACACGTAGCGGGCCGTCGCTACGGTTGCTGAGTTCAAAATGCATCCTGCGCCAAGAGAGGCTGGTCATAGGCCGGGAGAAGCAGCGCCTCAAGGCAGTTGCGCGTCCCTGCTGCGACAATGCAATTCGAGAAAATGGCGTTGTCATTTGTCTCAACTCTTGAAGAGCAGGAGTAGACAACAGCAAATGTTACAGAGTAGGGATCAAAGAACTACTACTTGTGCTGGGCCTGACGGTTGGGTTTTCGAAGGCAAACCAGGGACAATGAAAACAGGCTTCGAGTGAGAACAGTGCTAAATAAGACAGGTGGCCCAGGTAGGTATTAACCGTATTATTCAAGTAAACGAGCGTATCGGTACCGGTATTGTAAAGGTACGTTAATTTCAATGGGCGTCAATATCTAACCAAGCAATACCAAGGAGACTCGGAAAGCTTCTCTAGTTCTTGGACGGATCCAGTATTTAATGAATGTCTTACTTTAGTGCGATGGCTTCAACATAGTTCAGGGTCTCGATTGCTCCCCTAAACCAACGCAATTTACGCGATCAGCCGATAAGTCCCCCATTGGCCCGGGATGGAAACTCACGGTCTCGGATGTAATCCAAGACAAGACCGTTAGTGACTAGGTCGTCTAGCTTCTATATACTACCACTACTAGTACCAATGTTGTGATTCACACGTTTCCATGTCTGAACTTGCGGAAGAATAGAGCGATTTCTATATTTTCGCTAGTGATCAAAATGGAGGTATGACCGGCGCTATCAACCTACGCTCCGAAGTCGCATGTGAGAGCAGTGATATCGAGAGGCTAAGAGTGATGCTAGTACATAATTTCCGGCAAGCTGTGCGAAAATATGCTCCTTATCGCACTACAATATTTCCGAAATTAGACAATGCAAGGTACCAGACTTGACAAATGAAGTCCCACATTGGAGGAATCTCGACGGCTTACTCCGTACGTCCGGAGCATCCCGTACGGGACTATCTCCATGATGGGGATCGAACTGTAAGCGAAGAAAGTCAGGTCTAATGCAATTCCACTCTTATGCCTGAGTTTTCTGGCAGGAGAGTCAAGGATGAGAAATCCGACGCTTTAGTCTGCCAAGGTGCGATCTCATTTCAAGCATTCTCTAATTCTCAATACTACGTACTAACATATACCTATCTCATATACTTCTCGTCCGCGTCAACAGCGTACTGGGGAGACCAAAGACAAAAACGAACCACTCCTCAGAAATGGTATTATCTTCGTCAGCGGCATTTTGGCTTCTTGCCATTGTCAGTGCTATGGCTTCATGATCAGACCCCACCGTGTGGGTTTTGTTAAGTACAGTACCATGGTACGCGCAATCAACCAGTTGACCCTCACGACATTAATGCCCATGGTTTTGATGTAATCGCCGCCGTCGGCTTTGTTGAGGAGTGGTGCGAAAAGCCTCGTCAAACCGATGCTGACCCCAAAGACCTTGGGCTCCTTGCAGGGGCCAGTATTGACATGAACCAAACGGATAGGTTCTTCCCCATCTGCGGTGACTCGATTCTCAGCCTGTCAATTCAACGAAGTGGCATTCTCCAAGCAACAATAGAATCAATCATGCCACAATTCATTTGAAAGCAACCAGAGTAGGGTTGAGTAGTACAAACTAACAAGTCTAAAAAATCCAGGAATATTGGTGAACTTCTAACAGATCCAAGAAATGTGTCGAAAATGCCAACAGGGGTACAGCGACCTAAGTTGACGGTTCCACAGGATATCACCCACGGGATGCACAGTGTCGCTCCCATTGAGTCAAAGTATTCTTCTCCATTGTCCAGTGACGCACCAGTATTAAACTTCGATAGTACCCTAATATCACGGTACCCAGTATCGCTTGCCCTATTCAAACAAATGATACACAAAGAGGTTTCAACTGGCCACGAATAATCTCAAATCTGCTAGAGATAATTTTTGCAACTCTGCAAGATTCTAGCCAATGGAGACGCCATCTCAGTAGCAGCCCAATACAATTTTGCCCATATAACTATTCTCGCCGTCCGGATCGGTGTTGTGGAGTGTCCAAGACAGTCCTGAATTATTCTCCACTGCCATGGTCTGGATTGCGTCCGCCATCATCGTCGCAAGAACATCGGTACCAACATGATGAAGCAGACCATTACCATTCCAATACCGGCCGGCGTTGATCGTCCACCAGAAGTTCACGCCCCCGACCGAGAGGGACCCTGTTGCAAATGTACCTTCATTTGTCCCAGCCGTAGCCATAATAGCTCTCTCAGCATCCAGACCAGCAGAATATACAAGGCCAATCAGAGGCACCTGTCCATCGTTGGCTTCTGAAAGTGTAACGGATTGGACCGTAGTGTAGTCATATGCGAGAGCAGAATAGAATTGCAGCCCATTTTCCAAGCTTTGATAATGCTTGACAAGAGACTGAGAAGCAGAGGCCTCAGACAGTGCTGCGTATTCTACGTTTTAATTAACGAGCTGCCCAATTCATCATTTATTCAACAGGCTTGCAAGACTCTCTCACCCTTTGGAACAGCGGGCTGAAATGGCGCTGCCGCTATGGTTTCGGCAGCCACAAGCAAAAAGATGGTCGAGAGCGGAAGACGCATGATAATAGAAGTAAGAAGATATCTTGATATCTGGGGTTTCTGGGTCTGGAATGCTGTTACTGCTTGAGATTGTCATGAACCTTCAAGGAACCTGGATAATGGACATACAGTCTCTATTTATATCGTCCTGAATCCTTTGCTCTATTCCACGCCTTTCTAGCGAAAGGACGCGAATGTCTTCTTGAAGCATCATCTATCTTACTTCTCAGTGGCTGGAACTAGTCACCATATCAAATTGCTGACTGACATGAGCCAAATCGTTAGCAATCATACCAATGAGGGTCGAATCGGTCAAGTTCATGCTCTTAGTGGGTAAAGATTTCCCCCCTGTCTATTGGGCATTCATCTTAGTCGCGCGACTAGCTCGATTTGCTCGCTCTAGTAAAGAAGCGAGTCGCAAGGGCGTAGCACCCACCCAATTATCTGCTACTTTCGTTAGTACCTAGTTGGGTTGATAACACACCGGCGAACCGCAGTACTTGCATCATTATTCTTTTCTTTCCTCTAGTTTGCTTCATTGATTCTGTACTTTCCGCCTTGTTTTCACCCCTCTGTTGAAGCGGACCTGAAATGTCTGGACCTGAATAGTATCCACTGACTAGCTCTGTCCATATTACTATTCAAAGATAAAAATGCCTCTTGCAGTAGAAGATATAGTACAGAGACTGACTAGAATCTCTTCGTTGGAATGGCAACTTATGCACGTCTACTAGTATGGGTGGCTGTGAAGTCTGTAACCATATAGCGTTCGGTCAAAGCGCGAGAGGAGATCCACAAGGAGTTCGGAGCACAAGCCACATGAGACTAAACACAACCACAAACGCCGGGAGTGTCAAAGCTAAGCTTAGTTTCTTTTAAAAATAGCGGTGGATGTCATCGCGTAATCTGAGCCACCATCAGATCTCTGTTTAGCAAGCAGATGCCCGGAAGGGGCCAGCTTGTGCAGCTTGCCGGCGGCTATCGAATGCATTGAGCGTTTGAAAGAGAAAACTTGAATCCAATACAATCCAGTACTACCCTAGACAGTGCCGACGACTACTATTAACATCAGGTGGAGTGCAGTCCACCTATTCTACTAGACTAAATCTGGGTGCTATATTTATTTTAGCTGCACCGGCGCAGTACTAGTCTCTCAACTTCACAAGGCTGATTCCGCCGGTCATACACTGACGCCAGGGGTGAAGAAGAAAATTGCTAGGCTACAACGCTATAGCGCAGGTGCTCACTACCACTACGATATAAGTAGCCTAAGATCTACATATAATTAATTCAGCAGTTCTCCTCGAAACCTATTCCATCCACAGAACACCAAGAGCTAAACAGCGCAAAACCCACCACCCTTATCTGTCGTGCCACCCCTTTTTTAATATTGATTGATCATGTCAAACAAAGAGGACACCCGAGAACAGACCACGCCTATCCTTCGTTTAAGAGACAAGACTCTAAACGAGCCGAACACGCCCAGGATCTCGCCCCATCCGAGGGATGGGCCGTGGATGCGAGACCCACGCGGCCTAAAAAATGAGTTAAGGGTCAAGTCACCCGACAAAAGGCCTGTAGTAGGGGTCACCATGGACGAATTCCGAGCTTCCTTCAAAGCGGAACGAGAGCGGTCACTCAGAATCGCCAGGGAACTCGCAGCAGAGAAGAGGCTCGGCGAGATGGAAATCCAAATGTTCGTTACGATGTGGCGATCAGTTGATATGACGCGGACGGAAGGCTGGACAGACGATGAGATCGAATCAGCCTTAGAAAAATACTATACTGGTGCTCAGTAGTATGTAGCCCCTACCTATCCAAGTTGCGATCAAGTAGTCGAACCTTGGTATTATTCCGACACTAACTCCACAAAGCTACCTCACGCCCAACAATATCGCAACCCCCAGGATGATTGAGCAGTTTGGTGCCGATTGGGGATTGAACGCCCGAGGTATTTACTACCGCCATTTTTATTCTCCGGGGTGGGTTACGTCCGATCACGATCTCTGGCTACCGTCACTTGGTGGCATCGATTGGAATCATTTCAGTGAGTCCAGTCGCCGCTCGAGAGCAGAAACTTTCCTCAAGCATGTTCTCAACAATGAAAGATGGAAGAAGAGCGAATATGCATGGGAAGCCGACGCCTGGACGGATGTTTTCGGTCAGATGAAGAATGACCCAGTTCTGGCCGTGTCAGTTTCCCTATTGCTGCAGCCTCAGCATCTGATCTAACGAGCCCAGAGATAAGCATGAATACAACACCGTTAAACTGAAGAGAGACCCTGTGTCATGTTTATTGGTGGGTGAGCCTAAGCTCATCAAGAGAATCCCAGATGCAACATTCGGGCTTGCAACCTTCAAACCGAAAGACTACCAAAACATTTTAGCAGAATGGGATTTGGACCATGACCGCCTTGAAGCACTCCTACTTCATCGACATTGCGGCCTTATTTCTGATCCACGCTGGGGCTACGCAGATCTTGCATTCCCTTTCGCAGTCTATGAGGCTAAGGGATGGGGTGGCGATGCTCGAGAAGCACGTCAGCAGGGATGTTCAGCAGGAGCTGTATATCTCGATATGCTAGATAGTCTTGCGCGGCAGCCAGGGAAGGTTGGAGAAAAGAATAGAGTATATCAATCAACAAAGAGCCGCAGCAACAACCAAGTCTTCGTCTTTACCTCATTTGGAGCCCACTGGCATATCCTGGTTGGCTACAAACGACCGCGGCAGGAAAGGGAGTATGCCGGACATGAAGGATTCAGTGAGTCCGTTTATGTGAGTCTGACCAAGAATTAGCTTTAGTGGCGAGTTTACCTGACCTTGGGATCATAGGTTTTCCAGAGAATCTGGAGCGGTCGTGTGGTGACTATACAGAAAGCCTGGGAACTCCTGTCGCTAGTTGATCAGATACACCTCTGGGGAGCAACCGATTTCCGAAATTCCGTCATCCAACGTCTGAAACAATGGCATGAATTCGGCAGGAGATCTTATGCCAATGATGTTGATTTTGTGGTCTCAAAGCTCAGAACACACAGAGTCATGCGAGATGGGAAAGAGTATCTTTGCATACCCGCGGCTTGCCTACAACTTCCAGACTGGGCCAACCGTCTCTCGGAGGAAATTCGGGGCAAGTTACTTGAAAGAGTTTCGTTCCACTTCTACGAAGCCTACCAAAGAGACCTTTCGGCTCTGAGTGATCAATGGCCTTCTGTGATTAGATGCTTATTCGAAGACTGTGGTCCACCGGGCACTCCAGGATATCCCATTCTGTCCAAGGAAGAGATGCTAGAGCACTACCGCGAGATCCACGGGAAAGACGATGAAGCAATAGCTGACCTCAAGCGCCTTTGGGGCGAAGCAGAAGCGATTGATAACAATAACAATCCACTACAGGTAAGAAAAAGAAAGAGATCAGGGAGTGGAGAACCTGGACCATGCACGAAGCGGTCGTGATGTCTGCTATGTGACTATGGATGCATAGATATCAGTTCAAGGCAGGATAAATCCTTATGCACTGAGTAAGATTATATTATACGAATTAGCTAATAGGTAATCTATTTATGATAGTCAATGACACGGGAGGAGGTAGCAGGTTTAATGTCCAGGCAAAGATGTCATGGGACAATATTCGCGTGGATTTTCTCAGGATTTGGAGGTAGGTATATATCCCAACACAGTCACTGTGTGCCCATTCACTGGTAATCTGAGAATTTCATGTGCGATTCAACAACACGAAACAGTAAAAGCAGCATTCAGGCGGTCACATGGCCATAGGGTCAGGAAGAAAGGGAAAAGGGGTGGTTTAGGTTAAAGGCTGTTCTCAGCACTAGCTATGGTTCACCTATAGATACATTAACACAACACTCGACTGAGACCAGAATGGTATGCCTATTTCCCGGCAAAGGACAATGTTAGCCCGCACTTCTTCTTAAGAGCACCGTGACTCTCATTGCACTGTCAAAGCTACTCTGTCTTATAGTCGTCCAGGTGACCATCATCGATGATGATAAGACCATCGTTAGGGTTCGTGTGAATAGGCTCGTGCTTAAGTTCTTTTTCACGCTTCTGGTGGAGGCCCTTTAAGAAGCGGTCAGTGACATCGTCTAGAAGCCGAAGATTTGAACTCACATCCGAAGGAGTCGTAACATAGGTACCATCGAACTGCGCGCTCCCCTGGCCAGATGCCATCTGGGAAGCGTTAGGCACATACGCATCAGGAGGCAGATCGCGGGCGTGCTTGGCAAGAGGGACTGCATCCGCAGCGGCAAGAAGGGCTGCCAGAAAGAGAGCTTGCATGCTTTTCATCTTTAGGGCTTGGAGATTTGGGCAGAGGATAATGGTCGGAGAGTAGAAGATGATGCGGACGAGATCACAACGGTAACTCAAGGCGATCCAGTCAGCTTTATACTCTACTGCCTTTGACTCAGCTGTGCATCTCCGGTTATATAGGCCCCATGGATCCATTAGTTTCTCCTATGGTAGCATCATTAGACATTAATGTCTTTGAGCCGAACCTATCATGTTTGTCTTTTCTGCTCGCTCGTCTTACCACTTCGTTATGAGGGATTTAGAAAATTCAATGTCTCACTAGCTAAATGTCATGCAATAGTCCTAATGCATCCATTGCTTCCCTATCTAGTCGAATGCTGTAACATCGGGTCAAAGAATATTGCCATGATAACGGGTCCCTACTCTCTCTTTGTCGCCTGTCATTACGGGCTTCTACCCACATTACTATGTACTACACAAAAGACATGCCCGCCCGGATTTCCCTCTGTTATTATTGCACCATATCCTGCAAGGGATCGCTCGGACGATCTACGGAGTATTTGAGAGGAATAGAGAGACGTAGCAGCCGAGCCGGCCATGCCACCAACGCCCAGCATGCCCCGGGGCACCAGTGTGAGTGGCGCGCGAAACCGCCAGAGTTGTCCCCCGTTCGAACCACATGTAAGCTCGGACGGTGGTGTTGAGATCTGCCGTACCTTCTCAAGTTCCCCACTGAAGGGATCTGGCGCTGGCCAGATAGGGCCGTCGGCGCATTTGCCAGCGGAGCCGTTCCACCCTTTGCGGGCATGTGAATGAAAATGGCCCCCACGCAAAAGCGCTACATACCGGCAAATTAGGTAAATTCGGAGTTTTAGAGACAAATAACTCATTTTTTTATCCCGTTTATATTACCTTTGACAATTTGTTGTGAATACATCGTCGGGCCTTCTCTATTGGCCGTCGAGTATCCCAATTGCAATTGGACTTGTACTCAACTACTTCTAACAACATCTCGCTAAGCTTGCCTCTACCGCTTAACACACCCTCCATTCACGCTATGCTACCCTGTCGCGCAAGTTGACCAGCCGGTCAAGAGGCGATTTGAAAAGCGAGGACGATGATACAGTGGAATTGGGTGCCATTTTAGCTTGGGGACAACGCGAGCAGGTGTTGCTAGTGGGCCAGTATTTTGCGGCGTGCGGCGGCAAGTACTGCTCTCGCAACCTCCAGCTACATGTTGTGACGGGATCACAGTATCACCCTTTTCGTCGGATCTAAAGTGCCCGTATCGTATACCTGGGAATTGGTTTGATTGGATTGCGACGAGGACAATCTATCCTATTTGTTTTGTCATTTATGTACGGAGTTAGAAGGTATAAAGCCTGTTGCACCTTACGGTCTTCAATTTGACAGCGTAAAGCATCAGAGTCAATGAAAAATGCGATGAAAACCTGGCCAGTCGTCCGTAGATTTCTCGCTTCTGTCCAGCTCCCATCGTCCTCGCCGGCCAATTAGTAGCGCGTCTGCCCTGCACGGCGGGTAAATGTCAATTCCTTTATCATCCCATCCTATGGGCTGGGTATCGGGCCCAGCCGCAGGTATGAACCATCTGCAACGGCCAGCCTGATTAGATTGCTGGTTGATCAGGTAGCCAGAGGTGACGCAATAGGAGCACTTGGTTCCTTCGATGTGCAGGATGCAGGATGCTACGGTTGAGGTCAACGGCAAATGATCCACACCCCAACAGAGGGCCTGGGTCAGGCCCAGGGACAGGGCATCGGTCTGAGGGACAGGTAAGAGAGAAACGCTTCATAGAAACGTCTCGTGGCGAGTACCTGTCAATAGTGGAAGTGGTCAGTTTGCATATGATCGGGTCATACTAGCTATCTCCAGTGACTATGTCAGCTCAGGGCTTCTGCTACCCCCTTGCCCAGCTCGACTTCTGCTGAAAGCCCCCTTCGATTGATCGGAATTTGACCAGGCCAACCAGGGTGAAAAGCCTATTGACCCGGAGCCGTCGGGTGTGGATGATAAAATCACCCACCTTTCCCTTGCCCAACCGTAGCATATGCGCGAAATCGCACTTCATCTCGATATTGAGTTGATTTTTGATACTGGTCAAAGAAAAACTAACCAGAGTCCCAGAGTCTGCTTGGATGACCAGTCAATCGCCCCCCAGGGGAAGCTGCCCATTCTACCGTAAGGAACGACCGCCGAGCATCTGGATTTCCTTCCTTCGTACAGAGCGACACCATAACATAGCAGTTTCTTAATGAGACGACGATTACTACTTTGTGAATCAGAAGCACCAAGGATCATGCATGAGTGATCGATATAATCGGTTGGTTGGTTGGTTGGTTGGTTGGTTGGTTGGTTGATGTCATTTACGCTGACCCCTCGCCATGAAAGCGATATGCAGCCTACCACAACTATATATGTCTGCGTACGTACATGTAGAGTGTACCACTTCCTGAAAAAGAACTTAGAGCCTCGTCAAGGCCTGCCGTGGCCTAACTGCCGTTCCCATTGTTAGGCTGCCCTCGTGGCGTGCGACTCCAAAACCGCTGTGACGCCTCGGCGAAATCCAAAACAGCCTTGACCGTCTTCGCCCTTGAGACGGTGTCTGGTTTACCTTTCTTACCTTCGGTCGAGCCTCCCAGCAGACTTGAGACGCTACTGAACGCGCCCCCTACTTCCCTCTGTAACTCCCTTCGAATGTCCCTCAGATCCAGACAGTCCACTAGCACATGGGTGACAGTCTCTTGTGCGCCACACACGCACAGGTCGTTGTCGCGGAAGCAAAAGGCTTTAGCGTAGGTGGATACCAATTATGGCCTGTGTGTAGCTGTGTTAATAGGTACACTTAGTTCCTGGGCAGGCTCCCATATAGCTTCCTTGTGTAGGTTGCTGGCAGGGTGCTGTTGATCTTTCGTAGGTGACCACCTTTGTTGGATGACCTCCATTCCTGTTCCCACTGATTGAGGATATTGCCGCGGAGGCGCGCGCTCTCCCTCAAAAGTAGTGGGCAGAAGGGGTGTGTTTTGCCTGGGCGCGCGGCATCCTTGGCCAGTCAATCCGCAGCGTCATTTCCAGGGTTATCACAGTGCCCTGGCACCCATTGAAGGCGCAGTGAGATTCCCTCTGTTTGGACTTCTGTGGCAGCTTGGAGGATTGCATGGATGATCTGCTGTCCAGATTTGTTCCTCAGATTTTGAGTTGCCTGCAAGGCTGATCGGCTATCACACAGAATTGTCGCTGTTTTTCGTCCCCTTTCTAAGCTTCTCAAGAGCTGATGGGCAACTTTAAACACCATGCTAACAGCATAGAATATACCAATAAGCTCCGCTACATGAACTGACCAGCAATCCATTGGTCCCACTTGAATTTATTAAGATTCAACAGTCTCCAAGTTGCTGTCGAGTGCCACAACAGCAGCGCCTAGGTGACCCTCGCGTCCTGAGGCATCTGAGTAGACAACAATGTCTGATGTGGACTGTGTGGTTTCAGCTCGCTCCACAGCTGTTTCTTAGTCTGATCCAACCTCAATCTCCGCGAAGGGTTCAGCTCGCCACGGTGGCAGGGGACTTAGGTCAATTATTTCTAGTTCATCCAATCTTTGTAGGTCCATAGTCTTTAGAGCTTCTGCCAGTGGGAACTGAGTGTAGTTTCCAATATTATTCCTTTGTCTCTGAGCTCGGAGGAGCGCACTCCAGATAGGGTGATTACAAGGTAGGGTGTGGAGTCTCGTGATAGTATATTATGCTCGGCGGCGGAGGCAGAGGTGTGTTAGAAGGACATATGCTTCCACTTCTAGAGTGGTGGACGCTACTGTCCTGAACGCTGACAGGATACAGATCAGAGGGGCCCTTTGTACTGTGTTTAGGTGGCGTAGGTGGGTTTTATCATGTAGAGGGTCATGCCAGACTGTTAACACATAGTCTACCACTGGTGTGACGCATGCTTGGTAAATTTGTCGCATCTGTTCTGGGTGTAGATGTCGTAGTCTAGCCAGAGCGATGGTCACCTTATTAGCATGTTTGATGGCTTACTGGATATGCTCTTTCCACCACAGCTCATGGTTGAAGATCACACCCAGTAGCTTCGCCGTGGGTGATGGTTTGATAGTTTTCCTGTTTATGACTACTTGCCCTTGTAGTTGCTCACTTCTTCTCCTGGTGATATGGATAAGCTCAGTCTTCTCAGTTGCGAAGCAGGAGCCAGTCTGTTGCGCCCATGCTTTGATGTGAGGAATATCCTCTAACTGGATTTTGGCTAAGTTCTCTTCGGCTGAGCGGCCTACTCGCCAGCAGAAGTAGTCATCAATAAAGGCTGATGCGCCACCATGAAATGTGACCGGTTGGTCGACCAGATCAGAGTTGAAGAATGTGAACAGAATGGGTGAGAGGGGTGAGCCCTGCGCTAGTCCTGCGTTGACTAGCGGGGCGACCTTGGTATGGAAGTCATTAAATCCTATATTAGCGAAGCAGTCGCTCATAAAGCTTGCAATCCACTTTCTAGCGACAGCTGGGATTCCCTTTGCTCAGAGGTGGGTGTTAAGGCTGATTTTGTTGACACTGTTAAAGGCCCCTTTCAGATCAAATGTGATGAGTGTCATTACTGCATGTTTGTACCAAGCTTGGTCAATTACATTAGAAAGGGCTAGCAGGGCTTGTTCAGTGGTCCTGCCCGGTCGCCCTCCAAATTATGTATTAGGTAGTAAGCCATACTTCTCAGCAAGGTATGATAGTTGTTGAGCCATGACTGCCTCAAGAAGGAGTGAGATCAGCTGATAGGCCCCAGGGATTAAGTAGTCTGGCTTCCCAGGTTTCCCCAACACCATGATCTTTGCTCTCCGCCATCGTTTCAGGTGGTGCCCTAGTTCAATTAATGCTGTGAAAATTCTGGTGATGAGCTTTCCTATATACTTCCACAGGTGTTTCTACATGAGTGTTAGTAGACTGTCTTCGCCCGGTGCTGTGGAGCTTTTGGTTGCTTTAAGAGATTGCTGGACTTCTAGTTCTGTGATTAGTGGCCAGGGTAGCTCCAACAGGGCCTGGATTGGTGGGTCTTTGAGGGGTTGGTCCATTTTGGGGAAGAAAGTGTCCAGAAATGCTTGTGTTTTGTCTTTGTTCTCCACCAGTTCATTAGAATTAACATGCAAGGCCGGAACGCAACCCCAGGTCTTTCATATAGGTAGCAGCTTTCCATAGCATTCCTTCCCCAGCTCCATCTAGGAACTGTTTCCAGTGTGACTTTTTGACTTTTTCAATAGTATGGGTCCATGCTTGACGCTTTTGCTGCATCTCTTAGAAGAGGGTCACTGAGTGTGTGTAGTCTCGCCCATATTCCACACAGCTCTCTTGCCTTTTCTGATGTAAGCAGTTAACCTCGGTCTGTTAGTCTTTAAGGTCTGGCGTGAACCAGTGTTTGGAATAGGGGGTTGGGCGTTGGTTTGGGGTGTGGTTCTCCACAGCGGATATCATGATATCCATGAGACATTTGACTATCTTATCTAGAGCTGGTCTTGTTCTGATCTTTTTCCATGGGCCCATCTGCTGGAGCACTTCAGCTCTGATCTTGTCCTAATCTGCCTGTTTATATGCTTTCCTCATCTTAGCGGTGGGCTTGTGATAGGGTTTAAGGCTCCATTCTGAATATGTTGATTGGTGGCCTAACCCATAGTTTTTATGGTAAAGGTGACATTTGATGAGCAGGCCCAGTTGGTCCATTATAGTCAGATCAATAGTCGTGCTTTTTCCTGGGTTGTTAAGGGGCCAGAAGGTCGCTGTACCTTGAGGCAGGCAGGTTTATAGATTATGCTCTTAGAAGAAGGTGATAAGTTTGCATACATCTTTAATAAATCTCAGTTGAATATAGTTGCCGCCCTACATTGGGTGATGATGGTTGAAATCTCCTGATAGGATGACGGTCGTGGACCGCCGGTCATCCCACCGGGTGATTAAAATTGTGTTTTGAATTGCTGTGAGCATGGGTTCTGCTGATCCTTCATCAGGGGTGTATAACGGGACAGAAGGGAGGTAAACAGAAAATAGGAGAATCTGGGAGTCAGCAGTCCAGATCTTGATGGCGGTAATGTCTGGGTGTTCGCACTGAATCTGCTAGTGTGAGGAGGTTGATAGGTTGCAGTTAACATATATGAGGCTGCGAAACCAAACTACGTCTGTGTTAATGGTTGGTTAGTATAGCCACCATGCACTGTGATTAACATGTGTTTGATAGCTAGTGACAGACGGTTCCTGGATCAAGAGAACATCCAGGTTCTGGCTCTGGTGGTCGTTGATGAGCGCTTCCATCCTTGGCCCTGATTTCATGATGTTCAACTGTAGTACGCGTAGGTTGGTCTCTAACATTAAGAGGGGTTGAAAGTTGCGTGGGTCAGACACTGATGATTACTGGTTGGATGCTCACCGCTGCAGTCAAGGCATCGCGGCTGTACGCCAGATGGGCAGTGTTCACAAAGGTGTTGGCTGGCACAGTGGCTATAACATGGTGTCTCCTTGCATGACCATGCCAGGTGTCTGAACTATTGGCACCAGAAGCATCTCTTTTTCTTAATCTCATGGCGTTCCACGCTGCTAATCTGTCTTTGGCCAATAAGGAGACCATTGTTAAGGATGTATTCAGCTCCCTCTGCAGAGTCAAACCAGATGCTAAGTGATGTGAATTTCCCTAGCGCTTTATCCTTCCGCTTAAGCCAAGCCAACTCTTTGATTTGACATCCCTGCTCCGCTAAGTTGTTTTCTTCCATGATCTTCGCGATGGCCTCTGTATTGGCATTTTCCAAATCAAAGTCTTCTGTCAGGGTACAGTGTACGATGACGCCAAACCTTGGCTTTACCAGTTTTGTGTTATTTCCTAGTTCATTCAACCATTCAGTGTCGTTTCAAGCAGCTTCTGCCGATGCTTGGTCCTTAAAGTGGATCATATATCCAGTTTTAGTGGTACTAATCCTGGCAACCTGTGCATCTTGCGTAGCTGGTGCACTCAGCAGGGCTGTATGAATGTAGGAGTTCGCGGAGTCAGTGGGGAGGTATCAGCTGAAGGCGTTCCCATCATTAGCCTCGTTGTCCTCTGGATCTACGAATGCCTGCTGGGTGCTGATCCAGACACACTTCTGGTTCTTGTTAGGGCGTTGGTAGCTTGGCTGAGGGTTTGCATTGCCCGAGCTGGCTGCTACAGCGGCCCATGATCTAGCTGAGGGTGCTGGTGGGGAACTATTGAGTTATGCACGCAAGGCTTTGACTTCTTCATGGAGCTTCTGGTTCTGTTCATAAAGTACATTTTGGTTGTGTTTGACCTCCTGTAGCTCGGCTTTGGTAGATTCAATGAGTGTGGTTTGGCAGTGGATGATGTCCTTCAGGTCGTTGATAAGCTTCCACACCTCCCTAGTGGTGATCTGGCTAGTGCCCTCTTCAGGAGCATAGTTCTCATTGAGTTGTCCTCTCTTTCTTGTGACTCGTGTTGGGATGTTAGTCACCCTAGGCTGGAAATCCTCAATGGAGAAATTGGTGGTCTCCTGGGTGTTTGTGGGCGTGGCCTTGGGATGCCCTGCGGGTGGGTCCGCCATTGGTCTGTGGTTAGTTCCCGCTCGGCACACAACAATAGTATCAACCACAATGCAGTTCTCGTTGATGATACTGTTGTAATCAATACTGATAAGCCTCCAGTGATTGATACAGTTGCATTCCGATTGATATAATCATTCTCAAAATCGGTTTGACCGACAAACATTTGATAATTATTTTCCTGACCCGCTGCCAAGACCTTTGTCTGAATATTTTATTGGAGCCGTCACCTCTTAAATGAGGGCCACTGTAATTTTCTTTTTGTATTAGTACGGAAGAATTACAATACATAACAGAGTGGGTCATCTCATTCGTCCCCTACCCATCATTATGCAAACTACAAAATCTAATGTAATCCACAACCGAGCAAACCACCCAACAGAGCGAGCCACCTGAACATGATTTTTGCCGTGGTCAAAAGCCATGAGAGATCTTTACTACGGAATCAAACCAAAGCAAAAATTATTTGAATATTTAAATTATCTAGGTCTACTAGGACAGCTTGTTCTAATATGACCAACTTAATGGCAATTACTACATCATGATGGCGCACGCTTCTTAGGAACTCTTACTGGTTCCATCGCCTGTATAGCTTCTTGGGCAAGTTGCTGGCCTTCAGCACCTGTCAGAGCACCTCCAGTAGCAATAAAAGATCTAGGGGTTGCGCGCTTTCGCTTCTGCTTCTCATTTGCTGCGCGCAGCCCTTTTATCTCCTGATCTAGGAGAAGGACCTTGTGCATAGTAGATTCAGCTGCCTTTGCGAGCTGACGGATAGCCTCAGTTGGAGGACTTTGGGAGTTGCACTGAATAAGCTGCTTGATAAGCTCCATCTGCCTTTGCACCTCAGTAGTAGTATAAGGTGTCTTTGCAGTCCATTCGATATCTGCAGGTCCATAAGCAGTACTAGGGGGTGTGATATTCTTGATAGTAAGCTTATCTAGTACCCTTTAGGGGTCCAAAGGAACTAAACCAGAAGCTGCAAATCCACTGCAGATATTCTTTGATGATAAGGCCTTTCTTGATTCTCTATAAAGATCAAGAAAGTTTTCCTTGTCAATGTGATGAATGCCATTTTGAATGCTTCTCATCACCTCTATCCCATATGCCTCCTTTAGGGGTGCAAAGCAGCCAACATCAAGAGGTTGCAGTTTATCAGATGAATGAGAAGGCATATAAAGAGGGATGATTTGATGATTCTTGCAGAAAAGATCAAACTCTGCAGATTTATGGCTAGCATGGCTATCAAGAATTAAAAGCTAATATCTCCCTTATGTATGCGATGCAGTATGCTTTTGAAAGACCTTTTCTAACCATAAAACTCCAAGGTCATTATTCGTCCACCCATTATCACTCAGGCCGATTAGCCAGTCAGGGTTGATATCTTGATACCATTGAGATTGGTGGACCTTGCCGGAGAAGATGATCATAGGGGGGAGAGGCCATCCAGAGGCATTGATGCATTCAATGACAGTGACCCATTCGCGATTCCCTGGCTGTATAGCTCGTACGCGGCTTGTTCAATGACAGGATGCAGTAATGACCTTTGCTGTATGGGCTACACCCATTTGAAAGCCAGTCTCATCAAAGTTGTAGATATCTTGTTCAACAATACCATATTTTACTATGGTATTCTTAACAAGATTAAACCATTAGTTGATGACTTCTGGGTCCTCACATTTCGCACGCTGGTAATCATATTTGCGGGTATATTTTGATATAAGATCATCATGCCGTTTGATATTATTATTATTATTATTATTAATTTCATTCACGCGTCTGTCAGCCCTATCGGCCGAGTGGCGGCAGGTCCCTGCCGGCGGCTGGGTACGCCGCTACTACCTTACATACACTTGATCCACAGCGAGCATGAATTCGTCCCTAATACCCCTGTAGATGCGCCCAGTGTAATGCCCGTTGCTCCTATCTTCGCGTCTAGATGATCCAACCACCCCGAGGGGTGTCTAGCCTAGTGTTCTCCCTCGTCAAATAAGCCCTGCAAGCGAGCCGTGGCGGTACACAGGTTAGGGGTCGCCACCCGTATTGCTAACCCGGAATGTGTCTGGTAAGCCCTGGAACTGGCCTAGGAGCCTCGTAGCAATCATGAAGCGGGCGGCTCGCCGTACTGACTCAGGCTCGCGAAGCAGGCGAGCGTAGTCAGTCTCCCGTGAGTGCTGCCAGACCGTACGGAGCCGGAGCCCCGCGTAGGTCGGGCAGGCGATCAGTATATGCTGAACATCTTGACGGCCTAGGCCGCAGGTACAGTCCACCGTGGGCATCGCCCCGAACGAGCCGAGATAGCTTGCCAGTGTGATCTTACCAGTCTGCATCTGTATCACCACTGAGCTGGCCGCGCGCTTCAAGCCCACATGGAGCTGGAGCACAGCGCGGCTTGGGGCCGTAAAGATTCTCCGTAGGGCTGCGCCATGAGCATGATTGGCCCAGAACCGGTGCCAGTGCTCCCTCATCGAGGCCCGGAGGCGGCGGCGTAGTGAGGCGTAGAGCACTGGCCCTGCCGGCTCGCCGTCACCCTCTGCCGCGTCCTTGGCCAGGCGATCAGCTCGTTCGTTGCCGTAGACCCCCTCGTGCCCGGGGAGCCACTGCAGCCGCACCCGCCACCCGTCAGCGAGCAGGTGATCCAGTAGCCTGACGATCTGCCTGATGTAGTACTGCCCGGAGGAGCCCTTCGGCTCCGCGCTGGCCCGTATGGCGGCTTGGTTGTCCGTGAAGATGGTGATCTGGCGCTCCCTCTGGGGGTTCAGAAATTGGTTGACAGGGCTCTCCGCGCGCGCAGTTAGATGTAGGGCCATCTCCACGCCGCAAAGCTCCGCTGCGTAAACTGTATGTGAGTCCAGCGAGCCGAGCCGGCACGCCCGGCTCCCCAGGGGTGATACCACCGCCGCGCCGACCCCTTTGTCGGTCCCGCTCCCGTCCGTGTAGGCGATGATTGTGCTTGGGCCGCAGACCCCAGCGAGCACCTTGCGGTGCTCCCCTAGGGCCTGCTCCCGGGTATCTGCAATCGCGATGTCAGGTGGCTGCCACCAGGGGCTGACCACAAACGGCTCGATCGTTTCGATATCGGTAGGAGAGACATCGAGCTGGCCCCGAAGCCGACGCTCCAGGCGCTCCAGCGGGGAAGTCAGGGGGTCCCTATCGGGGTCCGCATACCGTGAGCCCGCCGGCCTGCGGCCCAATGAGCGTATGGCATGCAATTCGCGGCGCAATGGTGACGTCATCAGCCGAGCACACGCCTCCTCCGCCGTACGGGCGAGATTCAGCATCGCCGGCGGCACGTCAAGGCAGACCTCCAGGGCCGCGCGGGCTGTTGTGCGAAAGGCACCGGCGATGCGGTACAGGGCCTGATACTGGATTGATTCCATCGCCTTGCGGACTGCTGTGTCGGCACCTTTGAAGCCGAAGCCCCCCCGGATATACCAGGTTGAGCATGCGTACGTGATCTGCGGCCATAGCACCGCGGTGTACATACGCCGGAGGTGCAGCAGGCCTACCCCCCAGGTCGAGCCCGCGATGGAGCTGAGTGCTGAGATAAGGTGAGCCGCCTTCCTCCGGATACGATCCACATGCGCCGCGCCGGTGAGGTTCTCATCGAGATAGACGCCCAGGTATTTCAAAATCGGGTCCGGCGTGACCTCGGTGTCACGGAACCGGGCCCCCGGGTCCAGCGGGCCTAGGGGCCTCGGTATACCGCGGCGGCGAGACCAGAGATGGATGAGGCCGTACTTGGCTGGGTTGAATCGGGAGGCATGTCGCGCCTCCCAGCGTTCCGCAATGGCGTGTATTCGCTCAAGCCGGCGGCAGTTCGCCAGGGCCGACTTGCTCCAAACTAGTATGCAGATGTCATCGATATAGCCCGTGACCATGACCTGGCCGGGGAAGGCTGCGTGTATCTCATCGATCAGATCGGCGTTGTAGAGTAGGTATAGTATCGGGGAGAGCGGGGAGCCCTGAGGGATGCCCGTGTCCACCCTATACCGGCCCATGGGGCCCTCCAGCAGAACCAACGTGGTCCAGCGCTCAGTAAGGAAGCTCGCTATCCAGTTGACGATATCGGTGGGGATGCGCCGCTTGCGTAGGTTGTGGAGAAGCCGCTGGTGAGACACATTATCAAACGCGCCGGAGACGTCTAGGGTGAGCAGGCTCGCGACTCGGTCATCAGCGCGCCAGGCCGCGTGCACCCGTTCTAGCAGCAGATGGATGGCATGCTCGCACGAACGGCCGCGCCGCCCCCCAACGTGGTTGGTGGGGAGAAGCCCGTAGGCTTCCACCAGGTAGCTCATCCGCGTGGCGATGACGGCTTCCAGCGCCTTCCCTATTGTACTAAGCAGCGCGATAGGTCGGTACGCCTTAGGGGTCGTGTAGTCCGGCTTTCCTGGCTTGCGAATTACCACAGTGGTTGATTCACGGAAGTGCTTGGGGCAGTAGCCTAGCGAGAGGCAGGCGTTGAAGAGGTGCGTCAGATAGGGCCCAACCACTGGGAGAGCGCTGTGGATCGCGGCGTTCGGAATACCATCTGGGCCTGGCGCCTTAAGGGGCGCCGCGTGCTTGACTGCGCGGGTGATTTCCTCCTCAGTCACTGGGGGCATTGGCGCCAGAGACAACAGGGGTTGGGCGGCTCGCGGTCCCTGTGGCAAAGCCTTAACAAGTCCGGTCGATTCCAGTACCATCTTCTACCTGGCACTTCCTACTCAGATAGTGATTTTACCCGTCCCTATTGGCAGAACCCCGGCCCAAAAGGTTCTGCTGCTGCAAAACATCTCTGGAGTTTGCACCTTAAGCTAGCCGCAAGGGCGATAGTATTATGGGCGATACCGCGCCAGGAAGCTCCTGGGGACCTGAGTACGAGTCAGGCATAATACTCTCCCTCTCTAGGCCAACCGACATGCGCATCCGTCCTCTCGAGCCATCATAGGGTCTCCGCAAGCCTAGCTAGTAGAGTATGTTGGCGATACCACATGGCTGCGGTCCAAGTACGAGTTGGAAGCATAGATGCCGGCGATACCACACAGCCATGGCCCAGGTACGAGCTGGGAACATATCATTTGTAGCGCCCTCTGGTCACCACCATGATGCTACGGCCCGCTACTTCAAAGAAGTAGTTTCCCGTTACTGCTAGTAGTCTCCCTCTAGCAGCCGACCATGTCTTGCAGAGGCCATTACCAGCAGCATCCAGCCGGCACACTGCTAGTAGAGTAGGCCCTACTAACCTAGCTCAGTTCCCACCATATGCTTTGATACTCTGGAGCGGTGCGCTGTAACTATACAGGAAATAGGTGGTCCGGTCTCGGTGTAGGCCTTGCCTTTAACACATCCGGCACTACCATCCTGCCAGCCTTAACAACTTCCATTACTCTAGAGAGCACTTAGGCTTTGTTCTCTCCCTCGCTGAGACAGGTTTTCTGCATCAGTCCCAGAGCTAGCTGAACTCGAGGGTGCCCTGTCACTCCACTAGAACAGCTTTGTGTCGGGTGGTTCTCATATCCCAGTATCCCCCTAGCGATCACTAACTCCTTCCGGAGTACCTAGGCACCTTTTTGATAAGCATCTAAAAGTTTCACGCATTGCCTCAACCAGTCTTTCGAAAGGTCACCCCGCAGGGAGGATTTTGGCATGTATTTTACATCCCTTACACGGATGGTGCTGATAATTCCTGATGCTAGGCATTTTCAGAGCTTCGGCCTAGGCGCCATGATTATAAATCCTAGATATAAGCTGCTGCTAGTAGGTGGAGCTTGGCATTTTCAGGATCCCGGCCTAGGCGCCATGTTTGTAAAGCCTAGATATGGACCTCTGCTAACAGCTTTTTCCTCATTCTGACTTTTATCATCAACATACTACTGCTTAGCTAGACTGCTAGTGCTTGACTAGCAGTTAAGTTCGCAGCAGCCCATATAGGCATCCCAGCCTGTTATGGTAAGCAGTGGTCGGTAACGAGTTAACAAGGTGTATACGCCAAACGCGCCAAGAAAGCCGCGTGTGGAGCACGTGCCAGAAAAACGCGTACACAACCACCACGCCCCTTTTTCGAGATATACCGCGACGAATAATCTCCGTACCCATTTGCTCACCCATGACGGCATCAAACTGGAAGAGGGCCTGGTTGGTGGACGTGTCACACAGAAGGAAATGGATAAAGCAATCAGGAGGTAATGCCAACTGATTACAGAGTACTTGGGAACTGATTAGGAACTGCTTAGATTTCTACAAAAGTCTTTTCTCTGGTGCGGAACCCCAGAAGCCAGCAGAGGGTAGTGCTTCTAGCGCTCAAACTGCTAGTCCTTCTACTCCCACCCTGCCCATGAAGAAGGACGGTACTGTAAGTAGTTCTGAACTACTTCTAAAGTGCTCAATAACTGGCTGCTAACTGCTTAGGTTCATGTGACTAATATGCGCAAGAAAGTTGTTGAGCTTGGGCATAAGGTACCTTGTGACTCTTGTGGAAAGCGCAATGACTGCTGCAAGGACGTGAACAAATGTGATTATTTTATTCTCTTTAATTGTGGTTCAGTCTGCCCGACTCCTGCGTCTCAGGTGGACACAGAGGATGAACTAGGTGCTGAGGCCTGAACTAGTTTATAACTAGTTTGCAAGCAGTTAATAGTCTTTTCATTTTTCATAGTTAATAAGTATTGCGGGTTACTTCTTAAAAGAGTAGTAGGTTAAAGAGAAGGGTTAAGTAATTAAAAACTGATTAGAAAACAGTTGCTTTATAATATTAGTGAAAGTAAACTCTAAGAGTAAGTGTGCGGAAATATATATATATAAAGTGGTAAAGACTTAGTAATCATTAACCAGTTACTAAGTAGTTATAAACTAGTTATTAACTACTTCATTGTCGCTCCTGCATTTGAATTCGCCGCTCCATAAGATCTAGTTCTAACTTCTCATTCTCAAGCTGCTTCAGGCGAATTTCCTCCTCCTGTTTTTTTAGTTCTATTTCCATTTTTCGAAGCTCAAGCTCCTGACGTCTCTGCTCTAAATTTAGTGCATTTGTTGAGGCAACACGACGAAGCGCCTGTGAAGATTGTATAGACCTAATTAGTTAGTAAGTACTAAAGAAGTACTTCCTAAGCACTTAGAGATACTTACTCATTATCTTCTCTTTGAGAGGAAGACCTTGAGACAGCTGGTCTTTCACTACCTCTAAGTGATTGTGAAGTACTTTGGGCTGCAGAAGTACTTGAGGATATTGAGCGTCGGCGCTTACGGCCTCCTAAAGTAACTAGTTAGTAATTACTTGGTAACTAGTTAGACATTTACTTACTTTCTCGACTCATATGCCGTAGGTAATTTGCCTCCATATTTGATGTCCGATAAGAATGATGAATATTTAGCTGCTGGAAATTTTGATACTGTAAGATCTCATCCTTATCCAGTTTAGCAGAACTATAAATATTAGTATTTCTTAATGTAAGTGCTTAGGAAGTGGTTAGAAAGTACTTACTTCTTTACTGCCTCAAGTAATGTTAGATACTTTCCAGAGGCATATGACTTTTGATGTGATTGCTCAACTGCATTAGTATGATTGCGTAATAAATCAAAATAATAAGGTTGAATCTTAGAGCATGCTTTATTTAAGCCTGCTTTGATTACTGGACTTTTTTTCTGCTGTGCCCAGTTCCCAACATTCTGATTTTCATACTCTAATAAGTGGTTAGTAAGTGCTTAATAGGTACTTAGTAAGGGGGTAAATACTGATTAGTAGCTCAAGTAATTCATCATACTCAGCCTCTGATTTACAGTCTAATAGACTCATCATCCAGCTCCAAAGAGGGGTTCCCTGACTTCTAGTACCAAGTACCTTTAAAATTGATCGTTGAAAATGAACACGGCAGAATAGAATTATATGTTCTAACTGCCATGTTACATCTCGGTGTTGAGGATCAATCTCAGAGAGATATCGGCCCAGACCTTAACCAGTTACGAACTGCTTTAGAAACACTTAGAAACTACTTACCTGAGTATTGTTTGGAGTCCATATCAACAATAATACCATATATTCCAGAGCCATGAATAGGGTCAAATAAGACTGGCTGTTGCAAAACCTTCTGAATCATAGTAAAGACCCTTTTAAAGAGTAGATAATACCCTTCAGCAGAATCCAGACTCGTGAAGACTCGAAGTAATGTAATAACTGTTTAAGGACTACTTAGTAACTAGTTACTAAGTAATTAGGAATACTTACTTTTGCTTTGGTCAGGTAGAAATGTTGCAAAAAGCACCTCATTCATATCCTTTGAGCGAATCCGCTTGAAAGACATATCTACCTCAAATGAAGAAAGCTTAGCTAGAAGCTGAATCTGCTCTTTATAGGCACATAAAACCATAGTGCCTTGGGAGTCATGAAACACCTCCTGGACATAGCTCTAGATTCTAGATAAGTATATAAAAACTAGTTTCTAACTGCTTGGCAAGTACTTACCTTTATATGTTGGTCCATCCTTTGCAGAAATATAAGCCCATTAATATCCTGACCATTTGGATATGAAAGCAGCCGTTGTTTCTGAATAATTGCAGTAATTCTATCCTTATTACAGAAGCTAGAGTGAATCTCTGCTAGTGTAGAAGCATTATACTGCTCACAGAAGGCTTCAAGCTGGGGACTTCGAAGGAATTGTGCTATACCAGCTAGTTAGTAACTAGTTATTAACCAGTTAATGAGTACTTACCAGTTGTCAGACTTGGGTCCTGAATTTGCTGGATAATCTGCTTAACTGCTTGCAGAATCCGTTCAGGTGGTTTAGTTGGAGGTCGTGGAGGATGCTTATGGACACCGTGAGATGTAAATAAGATATATGGACATTGAGAGATATCCACAGGGATTAAGGCATTAAAGATAACATCGCAGGGGGTATGCTTTAAGCGTCCAGAGCCCTGTGGATGATCACGATCTAAAATAATTAATAACTACTTATAAACTGCTTAAGAACTACTTACCGCAGTACTTTCGTCGGGATGATAGTGGTTCAAAGGAGCCACACTCTTCAGATGATGGTAAGATATCTTTATTAAAAAGATCCTCTAGAAATTCAAGATCAATAGCTGCATGACCTTGAACTGCCCCTCGATGATGCTTTGTTAAGAAATCATATGTTTCATTAACACATCCAATATAGGGGGGATATTCTCCATGTACATTTTTAAGTAGTTAGTAACTAGTTTAAAAGTAGTTAAGAAGTACTTAAACATACCACTTGTGAGTATCTTTTGAAGACTGGCTTGCATGTTGGGAGCTGGTTAAGACAGGCATAGCCCTTATTAAAAAGAGTAATCTTTGAGCGGTAGGTAGCTATAAGCAGTTAGAAACTAGTTCCTAACTAGTTATATTAATATTACCTGTAGGCATTCCGCTTGCGAATATCTGACTCAAGAATTTGAATCTGACGCTGAGATTCCTGAATTTTTTCCCAGATAGCCTCATCAACAGATGTATGATGACAAGATAAAAGAGATGGGCTAAGATATTCACATGCAAGAATACCAGAGCATTTCCAGGTCCATTTTTTAACCTGGCATGATAAGAAAGGACAATAAATAGGACGTTTCTGTCAATAGCTCTGCTTCTTAGCATATTGAATCTAAGTAGTTAGTAAGTACTTATAAAGCACTAGCCTGTACTTACTTCATATGGTATCTGCTCCATTTCAGTCTGTGAGCGTCCCCCTGCTGCAACAACATATGTATATCCATGGATATGACTAGTTGGATACTCTGGAAGGTCATCAATGTACTCAAGTTTGAGTGTTGTAAGGGGAGAGTTCTTTGCATTAGTAAGAGGGATAGGTATGGTTGGTTCCTAACTAGTTAGTAACTGATTAAGAACCGCTTCTCGTAGAAAGGGGAAATATACTTCTATTTCTTGGTCGGTGTTCTCCCATCTAAAGAGGTCATCATCAAGACAGATACTAGGCTCAGTAGGTTCCATCTTTAAACTGCTTAAAAACCAGTTCCTTAAAGAAAATACTGATATGTAAAGATAAAATAAGTGAAGGTAAAATGAATTCTGGCTACTAATGTAAAGTATTAAATAGGTCACGCGAGATCAAGCTGCTGAGTAATTGGCTTGGCGGTCACGTGTTGGGGGTATGGGTCACGCGAGACTTCAGAGTAGCTCAGTTGACCTGTCTACACCCTCGTTTTTTTGGTCGCGTGTCAAGTTCCTGCTGATTAATGGTCCTGGCAATCATGTGATTGCCACGTAAACACGAACCACCCTTGTAAAAGTTTCGATCCACGTCACTAATTTCGACTGCTTTACAACTGCACCTACCATGGCTGCCCTCTCGACCAACGTAAGTCTTTATTGTTTAAAAACCGATAAACAAGTGATTAGAATGCAGAATCTAATTAGTCGATACAGAAGTGGTACAACCGCTACCTGAGTGAGGTGGCTAATGGATGCCTGGAGCTGCCTGTCTACGAAAAGGTGAGTCTCAGTGTCGCCTCACCTTACTCCTAACTAACCACTTACCAACCACTTTCCAACTGTTTGGAATGATGATGGCTCAATCAAGATTTACTATGGGGAGCTCTTCTGCCGTGTGCCTGACTGTTCAAAGGCCCAGGTGAGAATATTTTCAACTGATTTTATAGTCTCATCAACTGATTCTTGACTACTTAGAAAAAATATACTGCAACAAATAACCTTCGCACCCATATTGAAACTCATGAAGATGTGGAATTACAGGAAGGAAATATTGGTGGCCGTGCTGCACAGAAGACAGTTGATGAGGCTGTTAGTAAGTGGCTGTTGAGTGGTTTTGAACTGGCTTACAACTGGTTAACAACTGGTTAAAAATGGGTCAGAGTGGTACAAGGGGCTGTTTACAGGGGTTGAGCCTCAAGATGTTGGTGAAGTAAGTACTTATGCAAATTCCAACTCGGCGCGTGATGTGTGTGTGGATGCAAGTACTCCTCCACTTCCAGTAAAGAAAGATGGCACAGTAAGTAATCTAACTGCCCTTTAACTGCTTGGCAACAGCTTACTCAATACTTCGGTTCATATCACGAACATGCGCAGA